TCCCGAGAACACCGACCACTAGGTACATTATCAATAGCCCAGAAATCGGCGTTAGACGAGTGGATATTTCATCATTCCAGTCATCGACACTCCTCTTTGTCGTTAGTGAGTTATTTTGTGTGGTATCCATATCTTAAATAAGGTGAGGTTGAATACTGTGTCACTTATGAATTAAATCCGTTTTACGATAGCATAGATACATTGTTCATACACCAGTAGGAAGGACCAAGGGTTTTGTGTAATGCGGTTCATCAACAGAATCCTTGTTACAGTCGAGCATGTCCGTACGGCATAATGATCAACTCGATTTAAGGAAGTTATTTTTAAAACTCAAAGTGTAAATACAGCTGTACCAGTTACGGTTTTCTCCGAACAACAGCGATGTATGCGGCGACTATAGTCGGCTAATATAAACGTATACCAGTTGATAGTTAAAATCCTCAAGACGGAAGTAACAAACGCTCTTTCTACGTATCCGGCAACTAAGCTTAATTTAGCACTGTTGTCCGTTTTTGCAGCCAAATACAGGTCATGCGGTCGTTTTAGTCACATCATAGTCGCAAATCTCACCATCGTATTCTGTCATCAACAAACAATTTATTCGAACTCAACTTATAGCGTAAAATAACGGAATATGAAGTAACCATCTAAGTAAGTGTGTAAGAATTGATTTTCATAAAGAAACAGCTACAAACAGTGTTCTGGTTGTCCGAACATGTTGTTTCTTGTCTTGATGAACAACCTGATTATATTCCTAATTTAGCAGACCAGCAGCGCGTGATCAATTAGGATTTATTTGCAGTCAAACCGTTATTAGTTATCCCTTGGTTTGGAGGGGTCTACGGGCTCATAGACCCCGTCTGGTCTTTATAGACCGAGCCAAAGGCGAGGGGTCTATTAATACCAAAGAGGTATATGAGCCAGTAGACCCCTCCTGACTCAGAGATAACGAATGTGTCACAATGACAATCTGTTATTACATTTTTTCCTGCACAATTATAAGGCACTTTGTGAGTTTCAGTTGTTATAATTAGGTGACAGTACCCAAATCGGATCACCAAACCATCATTTTATTCATTCATTGAAAAATCTGAGGAGGAATTATATTAATCTATGGTTGTATCAAAATAAGAATATCGATGGGTGTTCTTACACACTAAATTAACACCAGGGTTCACTTGAGATATTTCTAGAAAGCTCTGAAGTCACCGATCACCGTTTCCATTTCTTTGCGAATGTCCGGACCCAAATCGGATCAAGGCTTAAAATTGGCTGTATCTTACACTTCAAATGAATATTTTTTTGTCAGCATATATTAACATTTTATGATGACCTTTAGAATTTATATGACATTTTTTTTTCCGATAGTATGAATTTATTCCAATAGTCCACAGCAGAATGCAAAGTCGTCGCAAGCGCCATATTTAAAAAAAAACGTAATCAAAACACTGACATTTGAGTTTGAATTACATTTTAATTTTGGTGCAATTTGAACTTAAAATCTAACCATCTGCAGACAAAAAATGTTGCATGACTATCTATTATAAGGTAACATCATGATTATAACTGATTTGTTGACACATTTATTGATTTATTGTAAGTATTTTTGCAAAAAGTGATCCGATTTGGGTACTGATCCGATTCGGGTATTGCCACCTTACTTGACTGCTACCAAAGTAGCCCCTACCGGACATCTTTTCAGCAATATTTTGGACAAAACACAACCATCTTTGCAATAAGCACCCTAGAGGCCCCATCAGTGTCTGTTTAGTTGAATTTGCTGTCGTTTTAGATTGCCTGTAGGCTATTTCATCCTGTGAATGATTTGTAAACCTCGAACGCTTGTGTGTGTCGGACACTATCTTTGTTGCTATGAAGAGAGATTCTAGTTTGAGTTATTTCCCCTCGCACGTGCTTTTATAGACTCCGGCAGAGCGGGGTCTATAGAAATATAGACCCCGGCAAGATATCCAATCACAAAGAGTGTTACAAATTAGAAGGGTGACAAAGTTTAATATTCGTCACACACAGATTGGAAGCTGCATCAAACATTACAATATATATAAGGAACTTAAAAGGCCATAATGTTGTACATATGCTATGTCTTAGATATCTAGTTCGTCAAATGCCGTATCGGACACGGGGACATAACTTAACAAATGGCTTATATGATAACACATAGTATTGATTGAATCGGTTGCTTGCATACAATTAACAGTAAAGACAGGAGTTCATTGGGTTTTACTTAATACCGAAGTAGGCAATGGCCGACAAGAAACGATATGATACACGATCACAACTACATTACAATACATATATCTTGTCCCTTATTTAACACTGTGTACTTGTGTAATGATATTTCTCAATTGACTCCATGTCAATCCTATCTTTGTTCATACTTTATCCTATTTTTGTTTGCTCCAATAAGGTTTTGCTGACACCTCGTTTTTATCTTTTTTTTTTTAATTATATGAGTAAAACAGGATGAAACATTTCAGAAATACCGAAAGACTGGAACATTGCACATCAATCATCAAAATAAAGAAATGCCAAACTATATATAAACCATTTAATATAAGAGGAGCATTGATTGAAATGTATGGTTTAGTCTCGCAACATTCGATTGTAGCGTTAAAGCCGTCCCATGGTTTAGGATGAACGACGATTGGAGTATGACTAGAACGTATTAATAGGATGTAGACTATACCAAATGATGATTCAATCTGAAATAGGAGATAACTATAACCATAACTTTATCATTTTATTATATTTACATTCCTCCTTTCCTCAGCTTAGTAAACTCTGACTGCTTATAAATTAGCCTATGCTCAATGAAAAAAGGCTCGGCGGTTTTATACCGGTTTTTCAAATATGGCGCTGTTCTCGCTTCAGCGAGATAACCCCTTCAACATCTAGAAACATGAAGCAGATTCGGGATCTATTATGTTTGATTATACAACGAGGGATTCTTGCAAACTTTGTATTTCATGGATACACATTTACAATTCTTGGACGGTAAAGTAAAAAATGGCGACGTCCTTTTGCGACGTTCGACCACGTCACTAACAGAGAAGTGTGTCAATGCGTGTACATAACGTCCGTTATCAACGAATACAAATGTTCGAAGTGCTATTTATACCACTTAATCAAAAATGTAAAGCGATGAAGAGAAGAAAAATAGTGTTGTTTACTGCGTATGTTCTGAATTTACCCATACATAAATGTATATTCACTGGAACTATATTATTTTAGCAACCACGGGTACCGTAGCTACTATCGTAGCACCCCGCTTCGACTGTTTTTTTCTTTGTATAGCATTTAAAAATTATTTATGATGTAAATGTAAGAATTGACCTTCATTGTGACGGCGTATACGGTAGTATGAACTCAGTTGGCAACGAACATATTCTATGGAGCGCGTTCATGCTACCGTATACGCCGACAAAATGAAGGTTAATCCTTAAAGATCTTCTGAATGCTGGCTTATCAGTGTCAAATCTTCTTGTTACTCACGTTATTATATTGCTCCACAGATCTCATCTGTAAATTAAAAAGGTACATGGTTTTTTGAAATGAATATGTGAAAGTAAGTGATATGCATACATGTAAAACTATATATCCCTTCCAAATCATACCCCTACCAACTACTCCCTAACTCCTACCCCTACAAAACTACTACCCAACAATTGCATGCTCAAATAACTATTTGAAATAGCCCTTTATTGAAACATGCACACGCACACACACATTTCAACGTGTGTTTTAATTATCGTGTAAACAGTAGCTATACCAACGTTAGTGAAGTACCCATAATAAAGGTTGTTCAGTTGGAATGCAGTTTATTCGACAATTTCACGACCTATCCGGAAATAAGACGTAGAGTAGCCTGCAATATGGCTACACTCTACCTCAGATCGTTCCAATATAACGCCCCTGTACGTCTCCAGGAGTCTAATAACAAGACATTCGTTCTCTACTCATACGTCCTACAGGAGACGAGGAAATGGAGTTATCGTGTATATGACTGGCATTAGATTTCCTCTCTGTAAAAGATACCGGTTACGAAAATTACAATCAATCTCCAATTTTTTCCTGGTTTTATCACGTTTCGATGTGTCATGGCTACTAGCCAGAGGTTTTGATATAAACCATATCCCAGTCAATCCGTTTCCCAATTATAGTCTTAATAGTTTAGGCCTAACTCATGGGATAAATGAAGATTACAACGTCAGCATTGCACAGGCGATCGTTTCAGTTATAGTCCCCAATAATCAGTGACCGTCGGGGTTACGAACGATATGTTTTGCCTAGAGCTGTTTAAAGTCAGTAGAGACATTTAGCCTATAGTATGCGTTGTCTTCAATTCCCGCCAGTAATAACATCGAGTGTTGTCGTCTGCTAGATGACACGTGCTACACGATCCTCACGAGCGCCCAATGAATGTCATAATTCCGAGTAGTTCGATCTTGTATCAGCCCAGTGTATGCTTGGAACTTTTGAGGTGCAATGGCCATACGTTCACAATGGATTTATGTGGTAAAATATCAAAATATAAAGTGGATTATTGTTGGAATGTGAAAACAAATGTTATCATGGCTTGACTTTTTTGGGGAATTGTGAAGCGATGATAACTTTGAAAGGAGTATTAGTATTTATGGACCTTTGTATTCGGTTTTGGAATTTTAGTACAAAGTATGGTCGTTGCGCCAACACAATTGGTTGTAATTGGCGTTTTGTTGTCAATGAAAGTGAGTTTTTCCCATGCTTATAATATGACTGGTGAATCGTTAAAGAATTCTTCGGATGTGTATACTTACTTGAACGATTCATTCACTACTGATTATACAACAACTTCTATAAATAAAAGTGACCAATCTATGACAAATATCACAGAAATGTATACGCGCTTACCTACAAATGAGAAAATCACAGAGTTAACACTACGCCCGGAGCCTTGCATCCCTGCACAACTTACCAGTGAACATATGTTGGAACACAATATGCACCTGACAAGGAACGTCAAGGACAAGGTGTTATACATTGGTGGACTTTTCGACATCTGGGGGTCTAGAGCCGCCTGGCTAGGGAAGAGTGAACTTACGGCAGCCGAAGCAGCAATACGAAACATAAACGAATTAAAATTCCTGGATGGATTTAGTTTGCAACTTCTGGAGAATGACACACAGGTAGGTTGGAGTATGAAAGTCCCCTGTACGTACAGAAGTGATAGTTTAACCCTCACAAATGATCAGAACCAGATAAAGTATTTGTCTAAACCAGTGGTTCCAAATGCCATTTAAGATTTTGTACCTGTAGGGTCAAGTTATAACGTGTGTATTGAGTCATCGAAACAACCGTGTAAAAATAATATGTGGACACGTAATTGGTTCCTTTATAACTAGTTACGTTATAGTACTGATACCAATTGGGTCAGGTAATCATTATATGCTAACTTGTTAATGTTTATCTAAAAGCCAAAACGATTTTCATTTTACTAAAGGATATTGTGTATTCACTCTAAGTAGTATTTCGTAATTAGAACAGCTTATATATAAACAAAATAATAGAAACACTGAGCTCTTTGTATAGTTGTATACTAATAATTTGATTGTCAGTACATAATGCATGTAACTCAATATCAAGCTTTGGAAATTTGAGTTTGTTAAAAAGAGATGAATAATAAAATAACTAAATTAGTTAATCAATGAAAGTTACAACATGTGAACAGATAAATAAAGAGACCCCCCACGAAGGATCACGAACCATCAATATTGGACCTTCTGTTTGCTTACAAAGGTATTTCATAAGCTTACTGTTGTTGTTAGTGATATCGGTTATTCATCAGACATCATGAACAAAATCTAACTTTTACTATTTGCATACAACTAAGTCATGTCAGCTTGTAAATATTTGGATCAGACATGTACTTTCCATCGCAAAGTTTCCGGAGTGCAGTCAGTTGGCGTCATCGTTATATGACATTGTTTCTGACATTAACTTATGTAGCGGTGGTACATAAGAATGTTGTCCTAACTTCAAACCATCAAGGTAACAAGTTTGTCTGTACATAAATGATCCACGTTTGTTTAAATATGTTTTGCCTTTGAAGTAACAACACGTATTATGTGAAAATGTACGGAACATTGACAGCCCACTTGATGTCCAAGTGTATTCATAAATTGGAGGTAAAAAAGCTGATTGAAATTGTTGGGTATTACCTTTCTTATGATTAAACAGTCCTTGCCTAAAAATACTATGGGAATGCAATATCGAGTCGTGACTAAGAGGTGTGATACAAAAACATGCCATGCATATCAAACATCTAGTCACCACACTTTTTTTTCATCGGTTCAGTCGATTAATTGTCAGGGAACACACTCATCATTGTAATATTGTAATGCTTACTGTCATTAATTCCTGTCTATTTTGATCCAATATGAATTTATTTGGACATATGATGAGGCATTGTGGGTTATAATTAATTACCACCAATGCCAAGATCACAGGCTACGGCAGCATGGGTTTCTGATAGAATGATAAGAGCGTGATGTCTGTATAGGATCGCCCCAAATGGATGAATAAAACACGTATTTCGGAAAACGATCCCTACGGCTCAGTGTGATAACGATGCATTGTTATCCACAATGGTGTGATATAAAGCAATAAAGCTAATTCCGGATTCGCTATGGTTTTTCTGAGATCCGACATGAAAGGTTATTGCATGACTTTTATAGCCACGAAAGCGTCATCTCTTATACAATTAGTACATGTATAATAGGGTTCATCTCACACTTAAATCAAGACACCAATACAAACGTTTAAGTGGCAAAAGTAACATCGACTGAAGTAACTTAGTGAGTTAAACAAAGTAAAGGCTGAAGACGTAATCTATGATAGAATACTTATTGGTCCATAGGATTTCACTTTACCTGGATTTCAGAAACGATCGTTTTAATATATTAGTGAAGTTCCGTTTTGCTTCAAGAAAATTTTGGGCGAATTTTCAAAGTTCATATGAAATGGAAACGAAGTTCCATTTAATCGCTCCAGAATGGATGCGATATAGACAATTGTTGAACTGACAATCGACACAAATCTTAAATGTCGCTTTATCTTTACGTTAATGTCCTTAATGTGACGTCACTATTTCATGAAAACATATTTTTCTCATTTGTAACGTCTATATGGGTAATTGTTGTGATTTGCTCACATTTAAATATTTCGGAAACTTTATTTGAATTCCATAGGAAATCACACGAGTGACAAGGTTATGTTATTAGGTGATACTGTTTCATCATTTTATCGCAGTTGACACACTCTTTAAATATGTATTTTTGAATTATTTCTGTACTATCTTTTTAATGCTCTTAATATACCAAATGTACATCAATATGAGAATCATTCACCTCATTGCTTGCAATACACATTTCTAATGTACATGTAGCTTATGTCATTACATATCCATTGCCCTATTGACAATTATGTTGACTGCAAATAGCAAATATGACAAATATTAAATCAATAATACATTGAGCGCTTATTAAAACTTATACTGCGACTTACAATGAATGGATGACTACATTAGTTGCATTATGTAATCTTAGGGCACAGATATACAGTAAAGCAAGATGTATGAAGCATGGATACTTGATTTCAGTTTTGCAGCCATTGGTTTTGTTAGTTTTACATGATTATTGGTGTAACTATTTGAATAATGGGTATCAAACGTTAAAGTCGTATGATTCAGTAAAACAACAGTCCAATATCTCTGTAGGAGATACAAATCAAAAAAATATAATATAAACAAAGTGTTATTGTTGATCATTATAAAATAACACGGTATACAGAATGCGATAAGTTTAGATTTCCGGTCTATGACACCGTAAACTGAAAAAAGGAGCTACTGACCTTTGACAACTAGTGAGGAAGCATATTAAACAGAATGAAGGTTTATAAAGTTTAAACAAGCGCAATAAAAAAGATAATTATATATTTAAAATAATATTTGACACTATCTACAAAGCATTCTAAAAGAATCTTCAAAATGACCCATAGGAACTGTACAGTACATAAATAGCGATCATCTTATTTCAATAGACGGTATACAACTATTATACAAGTCGTTTATCTTCAAGTCTATATAAGAGGTTGTGTATTTAAAGGACATCTGCAAATAAAAGGTAAAATGCATATAGTTGTTTGTAATGAAGAAGTATAACATGTGTTTTTATAACATGTTCTTTGTATTGAAGAAATTATAAAATGATATGTTTCAATTTGGCTTGCCGTTATAAAGATTAAATTCTTCAAATAAAGGGAGCAAACTGTTGATGAACAATATACATAAATCCAATTATGTAGATGTAACATTTAACAGACGGGTACTTACCAAGGGTTGCTAAAAATGCGCAGTTTTCATTTCCGTAAAATGAGAAAAGATAATGTTAGGACATTGAAAGTTCCACATGCGAAAGTGACTGTATTTACGTAATGAAGGACTTATCTGTACTAACAAAGTGACTGTATTTACGTAATGTAGGACTTATCTGTGCCAACAAAGTGACTGTATTTACGTATTGTAGGACTTATCTGTACCAACAAAGTGACTGTATTTCCGTAATGTAGGACTTATCTGTACCAATAAAGTGACTGTATTTACGTTTTGTAGGACTTATCTGTACCAACAAAGTGACTGTATTTACGTAATGTAGGACTTATCTGTACCAACAAAGTAATCAATAGCAATACGAAGTGAATTTAGTAAGTCGATTCAGAAAGATAAACGAAGTCATTGAAGAAATAAATACAAAGCTTATCGCGTTAAATAATTTTGAGAATAACATAGATATCTAGTTTTGTCCTTAAAATTTCCTGAATAAGAGCCTAGATATGTGATTTATTGACAACCCATCAATCATAATTGCTGCATGATCCGTTGCTGTGATATTTTATACAAGTTTTTACACCTATTTATTTTTCTGTACAATGTTGTGTTTACCTGACAAGATTTTCCTACTATAATCAAATCAGTGCCGAGCACTGTGCAAAAACTTTAAAATCAAACTTCGCTTGAAAAACATCAGAGCATCTGTTTTTTCTCCAGTTAATGTGAATACAGTATATTTATGTTGTCTCTGTTTGGTTTTTTGTCTACCTTGTTTCTTTTGTTGTCTCTACGTAACAACGTATATGGAAGTTTAAATGTTGTTCTTGAGAAGCTGCTGAACTAACCCTCAATATATCATACCCAGTTTTATTTTAAAATTCGTTCATTGTCCCAGCTAATTTATCATTACTAAGTTTGACTGGTTTTGCTTTTAGCAAAGTTCATCTCTTTTACATTTTCTGGAGAACTGCGACGCCATCTGTTCCATAAAACACTTAAAAACGTGAGAGATTATGTATTAAATTTAACTTGAGATTTTCTATCGTGTAGCAGACATATGGAAAACTGGAGACATGTCTCTAGCAAATGGGCTTAGAAGGTGTTTGCCAACGAGTCGGATACGGCCGCCCAAAGGTCCATGCAAATCATGCACGCCAGACCACTGTTTTCAATTGGCATAACAAATGTACGACTGTGTATAATGATACACCATGGACACAAAACACTTAGTAATAGCCCATCGTTTGCACCTACCCAATGCATGTTATATATGGTAGTCACGTAACGTTTGTATGTAACTATATGTGAAAAAGATTGTGTTTCAGCCGAGTTTGTACAGCATCGCACTGCGGCGGTCATGTGGCTTTTTCTATCAATCAACAATTACGGATGGTGTCACATGGACGAATCCTAAACTTGAATGATTTGTTTGAACGCTCTATTTTTTTTAAGTATATATTGCCAAAAGTTTATGACATAAACATATTCATATATATATATGCACACACAATGTACATGGGCGTCTATAATCGCCTTTAAATAATGTACATACTGCTCAAAATATACAAGTATCAAGTATCAGTATTCGTCATACATATATATTAACAAATAAGTATGCATTCACATTTTTGATATAAAAAATAATAATATTCCGGATGTTTGAACGCTCTATTGTCTACCGATAAAAACTTGATTTTGTAGCCAAACAAAGCATATAATAGGATATGAGATGTCGGCAGTACAACCATAGCTATTCACAGAATTCGTGACTGACATGCTTTAGTAGTTCTTAAGTACACG